AGGACGTGAAGAGGAACCAGATCGATTTCATCACCTTCGAGGCGCGCGACCAGGCGCTCGCGGACTACCTGTCGGACATGTGCTACGTGCGACAGCTGGGGTTCGGCCGCGCCAACATGCTGTTCAATGGGTTCATGCAAGTATTTCAGGGCCATCGTGACCGGTTGGCGAGGGCGCTTAAGTCCTGGCAGCGACTCGGCCAGCAAGGCGAAGGCGCCCCTGTGCAAATGGAGGCGGTCGTCCTGGTCATATGCAGGCTTTTCCGTACTGGGCTCCTGGTCGAGGGCTCGGCGGTCTTGACGCAGCTGGACGGCTGGCTCAGGGAGCAGGACTTGGGCCAGCTCAGAGCGGAGGATTTTGCAGAAGGGCCTGGAGGTCAACTCGATTTCACCCTGGGCAGGCGCGAGAGAGGAGAGAAGGTCAAGACGGGCGCGAACCAGGGCGTGGTGATATCGTGGCCGGTGACAGCGGCCGTTGTGCGAGGCTTGCTGCGTGGCTGCGAGCAGAAGGACCTGGTCTTCCCTGTCTCGCAGGACAGGTTCCGGCGCGCCTGGCACAAGGCGCTGGAGACGGTGGGGCTGCCCGGCATGGTATTCGGCATTCAGGGGCGGCCTCTTTCGTGACAGGTGGCGGCTGCTTGGAGGCAGCCCGACGAAAGGGCAGGTGGCAGACGACGGCGGCGCTGCAGAGGTGCACGAAGACCCACGTGCTGGGCGCCCAGCTCGCCAGGATGTCGGATGCCCAGGTGCGCGAGGGCGTCGGCTTCTGGGCGGCGCCAGCCGAGTGCCTGTCGGCGTGCATCGGGGAGTCGCCCGCGGCGGAGTCGCCGCTGGCCAAGGCGTTGCTGGCGGAGCTCGCGCGGGCGCGCGGCTTCGAGGCCGAGCTTCCGAACTTCGACGGTGGCAGGGTGCTCACGACGGGTCGGGCCTCCACCGCGGGCCGGACCTGCGCCAGGCGCAAGAATAGCGCCGCAGTTTGAGCCGAAGTGACCTGCCCTTTTTCGTCTATCTTGAGCCACAGGCGCGGAGTGTGAGTATGCTCGACGTGGAGGCCGCTAAAGATTAACTTCGTAGCCTGTCCCCGCCAGTGCTTGCATTATGTTGCCTGACATGTCTATTGTTGTAGACCGGTGGGGTCTAGATGAGGTTGCAGCGCTTCCCTGTCCTCACCTGTTTCCCTCAGCGAACAACGATGAACATAACTAAAGAATGGACCTGGGGCTTGTAAAAGGGGGGCTGGAGCACAACATAGGACTAGACAGGAATCAAAACCCGTTCCCTCCCTCCCTGCTTCCTCGAAAGACTGGTGCTGAGGCATGTGTGCCAGTCTCGATACATCAGGGCTGGAGATTTCGAGCGCGTCCGATTTGAAAAGACCTTTTTCGGGCCCCTGGAGCCACGTCAGGTACCGTCGTAGGGCTCGTGGCTCGCCGAGTTGGACCCGCCCGCTGAACCTTTCGGGGGGAGCCTCCCTCTCTAGGCCTTGCGCGGCGCCTGGCTTCCGCTCCAGCTGCTGCGTCGGATATTCACGAATATCTTTAGGGTTGTCGCTCCAGCTCCGCCTGACCCCTTTAAAGGGTCCCCCCTCAATATAGTTCAAAGCTGGCTCAATTGTGGATGCGTTGCTGTACAAGTTTCTTTGAGGCACATTGGTACTGCCACGCCACGCGAAAGTACCCGACGACTATGCCCCTTGTCACGCTGAGGCGTAGTAGCATGCCAAGTGGTGCCTGGTAGGGTGTCGGGAAAGGTCTAGGAGAACCCCACTTTTCTAGCAGTTAGTTGCATGCATCCCCCGCCCTTCCAGCCCAAGACGGCCCCAAGAGAGCCGCAAGCAGGCCCGACAGAGCCTCAGGGAGGACCCAAGACGAACTTAGATGGCCCCATCGACGGCCCCAGAGGGCCCGGCCCACGACGTCCGCGAGAGAACCCCCTGACGGCCGAGAGGGCCCCTTGACGGCCCAAGAGAGCCCCGGGACGCCCCAAAAGGGCCCCAAGACCGCCCAAACTGGCCGAAGGAATCCCCAAGCCTGCCCCACAGGAGCCCAGGAAAGCACAGAAGAAAGGGAGGAAGACGACAAAGACGCGAGGAGAACCCCTGACACGACGCGGAAGAGTGTGTCACGTGTTGCAGCTACCCCAAGGCTCGGGGCACAAAGTGCCACACCACGTTGCGGCCTCGTGCCCGCCCCGAAAACAGTCGCCACCCGACGCACTGGGCTGTCACGGCGGCGGGGCTTACCGCAGGCAACTGGACAGTACTACGAGTCAGGGGCGAACGGACGGACGTTTTCTCGGGCCTACTGCAGATAGGGTTGGCCCGCATTCGGTTGGGAGGGCAAGCGAGGCATAAGAAATGGCGCAGGAGACGAAGCGAGCCCTGGGCTCGGTCCCGTCATCCTGGGGATGCTGAATCAATCAACGTCGAGCTTGCTGTCCGCATGCAATATATGAAATTGGTGGGTGGGCAGGCCGAAAAAGAACAATGAACGATGTGTGTGCGTGTATGATATTGCCAGTCATGCTGATGAGGTTTGTTGGTTAGTCTGAAGGATCTGGCTGGTTCTGGCCGACTCTGGCCACCCCTGGCGCGTATTGCGGGTCTGAACCCCCAGAGCCGAGGCTTCAATTTGAAATCACAGCGCCCCCAGACCGAAGGTTCAATTTGAAATAAGCATAGCTTCGAAAACGACCGATTTGAAGACCCCCAACAAGTCCAAGTAATTTGTTAAAAGGGGAATACGTAATCAAACTGATTGACACACGACACCTCTCAAATTGAAAAACCACCAGCTTCAAATTGAAACGTCCACCCTTGGGTTCCACACTACAGGGTCGCCACGTCAGACCTGCATCAACTGTCGCACTCCTGGAGAAACATAGGGAGGCGGAACAGCTAGCATTGTTCAGCTGCGCGTGTTCGATAGAAACACAGATGCACATACGCAGGTACCAATCACGAAGCGCCAAACTGTCCTCGATCCCGTTTTCCTATTCAGCTTTCAACTCCGACGTGGGCCGCGGGGCCCGAGCAGGGCACTGCGCACGCGCGCGCAGTGAGAATCCATTTCTGGGATGAACCCCAACGCAGCCAGCGATTCCCCCGCACCCTCGTGACAGTCCTGGCACCGAGACCAGCGCGCGGGATCATAGGATACCAGGATCGACCCAATTTAACAAGTCCACCTGTTTTGAACGGGGCACCGCAAAATCCTGACGCAAAAAACAATGGTGGTTTTCAAAAATCCTGCGCCGTTGCGCAAAGGTCCCGCGGAGTCCCGCGCCCCGCATCGCGTCGTCGCGAAGCCGCTGGAGCGCCAATGAGGGCCCGCCGTCGACATTCTCATCATCACCCCCGACATTGACCATCATCCTTGTTGTTCCATTGTGCCCCATGCTGCCACTGCGCACTCCTTGCTCGCAACGATGGCGTCTGCGCTTGACCAGGCGAGACGGGCGCTCGTGTCCCTCCCGCGCGCGCGCTGACGGCGGCGTACGCGTGCGCCACGGAAATCAGCCGGGCGAGCCAGGACTCCTGAATGACGTCTGGGGGCGCACGTCTGGTTGATTTTGAAGCCCAGACCTGAGAGCCTCAGTGAAAATCTACGTTGGCCGAGGTTCCTCCACGACGACGAGGACACCTTTCATCACCTGCAGCATGGATCTGGAACTTGAAGCTGCGATAAGAAAGCGGCCGTAGTTGACCAGGGACCACGACAAGAACCCAGGTCTCGATTCGGACCCCTTCTCTTGGTCTGATGAGATGGGCCGCGAAGCCGAACAAGCTGATTCTACCTCTACGAACGCCGCCGGCCAAAGGGTGACTCACGGCACTCTGGCTGGGCAAGCTGCGTGGCACGATATTCCATGCATGTACATTAGGGTTCTTACACTATCTGCGCGCGTGCCATTCATCACGTATATCCCAAACCCTCAATACCCGCCCTCTTCGTCTTCGACCGTACCCCCTTGTGGGCATATCTTTCTTACCTGCAACGTGTATTACGTGCAGCCGCTAAGGTAGGAGATGCGAGGACGGATGGAAGGAAGGGACAAGGGGGAGGGAGAAGGATAGAGCACGAGAGAGAGTAGCAGGGGGGCTAGAAGCAGAAAACACGTGGCAAAACCAGACGGGCAGATCGGGCGGGTAGAACTTAACAGGCGGGTCGGGTAAGCGGGCCCAGGCGGCCAGGTCGGGCAAGCTGGCTGCTGAAGCGTGCGTCCTGTATGAACCGCGAGTCTCGAGCGATAGGCGATTTCCAAATAATTCGTGAAATCGGCCAAAGCGAGAGCATGATTCCTGAGTGTCGAGGGCGCGGCGTCTGAGTAAACTGCAAGGAAGTCCCACGCGAGAGCGCGACTTCTGCATAAAGTGTGAGGACTTCCCGCGCGAGAGCGCGATGTGGAAATATGTAGTGAGGAAGTGTCAGGCGGGAGCCGTTGGTGTTGTAACTCGGGAGCCAGGGGCCCAATTCTGACACCCAAGACGTTCCCTTGTAAAAAGCAAGGTGCGAGCCCCGGGAAGGATACTTGAATTACAATGTTAATGTGCCCTGGAGGGGGGATCAACAATAATTATTCAGCAGTGAGTATTCAACAAAGCAACAATCACAATCAGCACCCGTATGTATCTCGCTCTACATGTATATCTATGCGTCCGTCCAATATCCTGTCCCTTCTCCCGGTACTCTAGTCTATATATATATACTTGTTTCTCTCTCTCTCTCTCTTTCTCTCTCTCTCTCTTTCTCTCTCTCTCTCTCTCTCTCTCTCTCTCTCTCTCTCTCGCTATCCACAACCTCTCTCTCTCTATCTGTCTCTGTCTCTCTCTCTCTCTCTCTATCTCTCTCCCTCTCTCTCTCCCCAACCATTTCCCCTCCCTTTTCTTAGTGTTCTAGGACGGGCAGTGGACACATACAAACGCACACACACACGCCAACAGAGTCGAGTCGAGTCGGGAGGAAGATCATTGCAAAGCGCATGCGTCTGCGAGTAAAACGTTCAATCTTGATTTACGCGCAAATTTGAAGCTTTCAAAGCCTTGGTGCCTTCCATGCCCTCAAGCTGCACTTCGAATCTGTCCGAGGCCTCTATGAAACTTAGAACTCTGCCTCGGCAACCATTGAGTTCTACAGCGCCCGCGAGACCATGAACGACGACATCGTCACCGACTTCTGGACCTGAAATGCTTCGAGAGGGAGGTTCACCTGCTCTTCGAGAGGAGGTCACTTTGGGGGTGTCCCTCCTCCGGCAGCAGGTCGTGAACCAGCGTGGCTCCGGCTCGGGCGTACGACTGTCTCCCCTGCCACCACTGCTGGCCACGTCGCTGCGCTTGCCCTTGCCTTTACCCAAGATGCTGCGCAGCATGTCTATATCTGGGCCACCACCCTTGCCTCCACCCTTGCCCAGCATGTTCATCAGCATCTCCATGTCCATGCCGCCCGGGCCTCCACCACCGCCTGCCTCCTCTGGATGGTGCTCCAGCCACTGCTCGGCCCACTTCAGGCGCTCGTCACTGCCAGGCGCGCCGCAAGGTGTGCCGAGCATCTTAGCTTCCTCTGTCAACTCACTGTTGCTGGGTTCACACTTCAGCTCGGCCTGGAGGACCTCGTAGCGCCCAGCGACAGCCTCGGCAAGGGAGAGCTTCGCCTTTCCGGCCATGAAGGCGTATGCTTTTCGGAAGCCTGCATGAGTGAGCTTGGAGATCGAGCCGGGGATGAACTCGACGTGTCTCTCAATGGCCTCGGACACACCCTGGAGCCGCACAACCATGCACGTGATGTTGTCCTTCGAATTTCTGTCGATGGCCTTGTGGCAAACATAGCGTGCAGCAATGCCCGCATCTTTGCCCCCGTTCAACGCCTCAGCTACAAGCTCCACGACTTCAGCGTTCGAGAAGTCCCCCTCGGACACTCCATCACAGACAAGCAATACGAAGTCTGTCTCGTCACACTCAAAGTGGTACTGCTCGGGAATGCAAGTGACAGGACGGTTGTCTGGGCCAGGTCCACCAGTCTCCTTGCAATCACGATCACCGAAGCCCCGGCTTACTGAGAGATTTCCATTGACACGGTCATTTTCTACAGTGCCACCCGCCTTCACAATACGCCTCCTCTCTTCTGGGTCCTCGGGCTTATGGTCACGGGTTAGGCCTTTGTCCGTGCCGCCACCATCAAATATACAACCATTCGCCTTGCCTAGAATAGTCCGACTGTCGCCGGCGTTGATGACATGGAGCTTCAGCTTCTCTCCCAGATTCTGCGGCTTATGCACCACGCACATGGTGGCAGTCGTGCCACTTGCCATCCCAGAGTCCAGAAACGCTTGGTCGACCTCTATGAAAAGCTTCTCCCAGGCAGCATCATCCTGAGGAACCCCTTCTTCCTCAAGCCATTTACAGATCATCCTGGCGGCAAATGCAGAGCAATCCTTACCACCATGGCCATCGTACACGCCAAAGACGCCGACGTCGTCACGCAGCCAGATAAGGTGCGCATCTTCCATATCGGTGCGCCAGCCGTTGACTTCTGCGACGGCAACATCAAAGCCTTTGTTTGCCTGGCGCTCGATCAGCGTCGAGTCACAGGCCCTCGGCAATATAGCGCCCATGGCTGCGTGTTTTCAATTTACAAAACTAGCCGAGGAGGCACACAAACCTTTCGATGGGCCAAAACGGCTGTAGCACCGAAAAAAGAAAAGGAGAGAGGGGAGAAGAAAGATGGAGAAGGAGGGCGAAGTAGGAGCTGACGGCGGGCGAAGAGGACGAGGAGGAGCGTCTGAACCCCACGGTCCATGACGTGTTCGCACCAGCCCCTCGACAGTTCGAAAGCAAGCCAAGGAGAGGCATTGCAGCAAGTGTCGAGGGCCCAAGGGCCCTCTGTGATTGCGGACTATACCATGCAAGTGACGATACACTGCAAATCTCGAAATGACCTGCTCAAGATTGGCATCGGGGTTCGAGGAGTGGGCTTCGGAAGTGCAGAGATACAGGCGTATCAAAGCAGAGACCGTGGCAAAAGACCGAGGGAGACAGGCAGTCCATCAGGCATGACTTATGGGGTACCAGTGATACCTACTTCTTGCCGGAGGGCCCCAGCTTGGCTCAAAGGGACCCCCACGGGACGTTAAAATTACGACGACGGGGCATTAGAATGACCCCCACTGGACCTCACAACTACTCCCACGGGACTTTTAAAGTTACCCCCACGGGACAATAAAAAGGACCCCAACGGGACCTAAAAGACGACCCCCACGAGACTTTGAAATGACACCCGGGATCTTAAGATTACCGTGAATTTGGGTTTCGAAGGACCCGAATTTGGAGTCTCTGGCTACGGGCTGGCTAGGGCAAGGAACGGGGCCGGCAAGGGCTGGCTAGGGGCCGGCTAGGGGCTGGCACTGGCCAAGGGCCAGCCCAAGGGCTGGCTAAGGGCCGGAGGCCAGCGAAGGGCTGGCAAAGGGCCAGCTAAGGGCTGACACAGGGCTGGCTAAGCCAGGGGTTGGATTGGTAGGGGCCGGCTAAGGGCCAATAAAGGCCGGCTGGGGGCCGGCTAGGGGCTGGCTAAGGGCTGGGGCTGGCAAGGGCTGAAAGGGCCGGCTACCAATTGTAAGTGCCGGCTGGGGCCATTTCAACGGCACGCTAGTGCACTTTTAAAAGCCGGCTGGGTGCATTCAGCTATAGGTGCAGAACGCAGCGTTTGGCACCTAAATGGCACAAGAAGGGAGCGCCCTCTGGGACCTGGAATCTCTAGCTCCAGGCCCTGAAATCACCAGCTCTGGGCCCTTAAATGCGCAGCTCTGGCATCTTAGTCTCCAGCCCCGGGCCCTTACACCCCCAACTGGACCCCAGGCTCTGAACCCCTAAATGCACAGCTTTACAGCCAATCTCTGGGCCCTTACATCAGCAGTTCCAAGCCCTTACATCCCCACCTCCGGGCCCTTAGATCCCTACGAAGCCCAGCTCCGGGCGCTTAGATCCCTACGAAACCCGCGATTCTGGGCCCTTACGTCCCCACCTCGGGCCTCTACACCTCAAGTTACATCTCCAACTCTGGACCCTTCTATCGACATCCCTGGGATCTTACATGCCCAGCCCCGGGCCCTCAAATCCCCAGCTCCGGGCCCATAAACCTCCAACCCTGAGCCATTAAATCTCCAGCTCTGGGCTCTGAAAACTCCAGCTCTGGGCCTACGGATCATTAGCCCCAGGCCCTGAAATCCGCCGACCCTGTCGGCGTGTGTGAGGGGCTTCTCCGTTCGACTCGTCGTCTCCGTCGTCTCCGTTCTCCCCCTCCCAGGGCTCTCCTCCTCAAGCGCGCTATCCAAAGCGAAATTAAACGACGTCGTAGTGGAGTCGAAGGGAAGCCCCTTCCCTTTGATCCCTTCCCCGCAGGGGGGGGGGGGGGGGGCCGGGGCAGATACGACGCCCGCCGGGGCGCACTTTCCTCGAGCGGGCACGCACGGGATGCACTTCCTCCTCCTCCTGGTCCTCCTCCTCCTCCTTTTCCTCCTCCTCCTCCTCTCCTCCTCCTCCTCCTCCTCCTCCTCCTCCTCCTCCTCCTCCTCCTCCTCCTCCTCCTCCTCCTCCTCCCGCAGAGGCGTCCCGGGAGCGGGCCCCGAGTCAAAATACCACCCCCCTAGGGCGCATTTTCCTCGAGCGGGCACGCCCGAGATGCACTTCTTCCTCTTCCGGGAGCACGTCCCAAGTCAGAATATCACACTCCCGGGGCGCACTTTCTTCGAGCGGGCACACAAAGGATGCACTTCCTCCTCCTCCTCCTCCTCCTCCTCCTCCTCCTCCTCCTCCTCCTCCTCCTCCTCCTCCTCCTCCTCACCCTCCTCCTTCTCCTCCTCCTCCTCATCCTCATCCTCCTCCTCCTGCTCCTCCCTTCTCCTCCTCCTCCTCTCCTCCTCCTCCTCCTCCTCCTCCTCCTCCTCCTCCTCCTCATTCTCCGCTTCCTTCCCCCACTCCTGGCCCTTTCGATCAGGGTCGGCGGCACTGGCCGTCAGGCCTCTCCAATCACCAGCCCTGGGCCCTTTAACCCAGCTGCCCCAGGCCCTTAAACCCCCAGCCCTGCGCCCTATGGGGCCACATACTCATGGCATACGGGACCATGCTGGCTCGGAGAGCTCGGAAGCAGAAACGGTTCAGGGCCAGATGCTCAAAGTTAAGGGCTGGAGGGTCAAAAGGTAAAGGCTGGCTGGTCAAAAATCGAAGCAGGGTGGCCAAAAAAAATGCCAACCATGAAAAGCTGGGTGGTCCAAAATTAAGGGCCAGGTGGTCAAAGGTAAAGGCTAGGTGGTCGCAGTTGAGGGCCGGATTCTCAAAAGGTAAGGGCCAGGTGCCCACAAGATACGGGCCTTGTGGTCAAAATATACGGGCCCGTGTTGCCCCCAAACGTAAGACAATACGGGGCCCCACATTGGGTGCTCCTGGGGCCATATAGACATGACTACATGAGAGATCAGGCTGAAGCGCGTCAGACCCCGAATCGCGTCAGCTCCCGAATCGCATCGCACCCAGATATCCAGGGCTCAACTCGAGCCTCGCGGGAAAGGTTAATGGCATGCATGCGGGCCGCGGCGGACCACGCGCCTGCAAGGATTTACTCACCGGCCACCTTATCCCCCACCCTCTAGTCGACCAGGCCCACTCACAGTGTGCCATCTGCTTCTCAGGACCCATAGCCAAGAGCCTCAAGGCCCCAGCTGCTCATACGTTTCTGAACCGTCAAAAGTAAGTCGCCCTGAAAAACGATTCGAGAACGGAGTCCGAACGCACATCTGAAAGGAACAACTTCCCTCGCACTACAGGCTTTCCTCACTTCCGTAGCCTCAGTCGTGCGTTCCTCATGCTGGCATTCGGCTGCCAGCGAGTGTCTCACGGCGCCTGGCTGGCACCGTTTCACCTTAGTGCAGACACCGTCCAACGCGCCGAGAGTGCGCTGGCGCACCATAGAACGAGGAGGGGGACGAGGAGGGCGGAGGACGGGAAGTAAGGATAAGGGGAAGATGAGGAAGGAAGAAGAGGGTATACCGAGGAGGAAAAGGGTGTGAGAAAGAAAACAAGATCAAAAGGAGAAGAAAAAGGATGAGAAATGAGGGCCAGGAAGGAAGAAAAGCGTGAGACTCTTCCTCCCCAGTCCCGCTGGGCAAAGCATCGCGAGCGAAGACGTCGACACCGACAATCGCTGCGGCCGCCGTTCTCGCCCGTCTGAGTCGTTCTGCGCCGTTCTGGGGATAGTGTCTCCGCGCTGTTTCCGCCGAACGTCCGCCGGGCCGTCTGTGAGGGACAGAGAGGGGTGGAGGGTGAGGGGGAGAAGGCAAAAAAGCAGCAGCTTGGAGAGAAGAAAGGAGGAGGAGGCGGCGGAGGCGGAGGCGGAGAGATGTTCCATGAATGAACTGCGAGAAGATGTACTTCAATGTTATGTGCGTTTGGATGCCTGTGCCACCCGGGGGATGGGTAAGGACTGTATGCTCCATGACGCCAGATACGGAAGAGGTGGGACCTGACGAAGAACGCGGACCCTTGGGCCCCAGTCGATGGACTGTCTTCCCGCCCCCGCCGCCACTGCTACTGTCTTCCTTGCTACACTTTCTCCCACTGTGCGTTAGGCGCACAGGCGCGCGCGCTTCGACCTGGAGCTGAAGGGAGCTACGTTTCCTCTCCATTGCTTCTCCATATTCTCTGGTCAGACGTCATCGCGGCGCGGCCCGGCAGACCTTATCGCGGTGGCCCCCGGCAGCGTTTGCTTTCGCAGCGCCTTCTGGGTTGCAATCGTTCGAATAGATTTGGTGGAATTCCGAGGTGGCCCGCTGGCGCTAAGGATTTTCGAGGTGCGTCCCGCCAATCGTTGATGCGGTGCGCCATCAGCGGCTTGCGCGGTTGCGTTGGGCCCCCACGGGCGCCCCTGAAGCCGCGCACCAAAGGTCACTCTAGTCTAAGGTCACTCTAACAAGCTGCAAGATAACCATGCGGGAGTGTCCTGGGGCGTCAATGGGGGCCTCTTTCGCTGTATCATACACCTTGGGGGGCGGCCAGAGAAGACAAAGCCACTAAAGACCGAACGATTGTGTCTGATGTTCGCCTGCTCGGCTGTTCAGTTCCAGAGCGTCCAAGACGGCCCACGAGACTTCCAAGACCCGCCCAAGAGGGCCTCCTCGCCCCGCTAGAGGTGCCCAAGAGGCTCCTAGAAGGCCACCAAGAGGGACCCAAGAGAGGGAATTCGAATTGCCATTTGGAGCCCTCTCCCCCCCAGATGGCGCCCGAAAGAGTCAGCAAAACCACCAGAGGCTCCCAAGAGGCCACGCCAACAGGCCGCCAAGAGTTGCTCCAAACAAACAACGCCAGCGTTGAGGCCACCAAGAGACCCCTAAGACCCAAGAGGCACCCAAGAGGCCCCAAAAGACGCCCACAATGCATCTAAGAGGCCTCCTGTGCGGAAAGGGCCGAAGACCAATAGATGGCTCTCACAGGGGATCGCGTGCCGCTCCACATTATCATTCGATTCAGATCGGCCCGTCCATGTGGCCATCAGTTTCAGGTGGTTTGGGTGCGGCTCTGGGTATTTGTTTTTGGTGACGCCTGGCAGCCTCTGGGAGCCTCCTGGGAACCGTGGGGACCTATGGGAGCCTCTGGTGACCTCAAAGAATTCACAGCGACCTCCAGGGACCTCCAGAGACCAGGGAGGAAGAAACCTTGAATTCGAGGGAGGCCCGTTCCGGGCCAACTATCGATATGGCGTTTGATGTGGGAACTGCTAGCTAAAGAAGGACGCTGAGCGTTTCCCTTGCTGCTGCTCCTGACTGCCCCCAGCCGCTCCTCTTGGACAGGCTGCTGGCCCATGATCAAAAGGTCGATGCCGTAGTCCCTGCTCTCAGCACAGTGTAGCGGCGTCCCCCCACAGCAATGGCCCAGTGCCCAAGCCCACCTTCCAAAAAGTCTCCAATGTACAGCCAGAGCTGACGAGAAGAAGACTCACAACGAGACGAATAAGGGCACCACCTCAGAGCCAGCAAATATGTGCTGGAGGTGAAACTTGAGCTACGTTCTGAGAGATGCTCCAGAGCACATGTAGGGAAGGTGATTCCTTATGCGCGGTATTGACTGAAGTCTGTTAGCTGCTGTCTCATGCCAGTGCCATGCAGGCCTCGCTCGATGCGGCATTCCCCCGAGGCTTGGCATGGCAGGCCTCTGCCCATAAGAGGAGATGGGACAGAGGAGGGAGAGGAGGGAGAGGAGGGAGGAGGCGAGGGCCAAGGCAGGGAGAGGGGAAGAAACTGCCCCACGGGACATGAGTACTGAGAGTACGGCGGATGTCTTCTCAAAGGCCTGGGGGGTCCGTGCGATTACACGAGACGTACCCAGCTCGTTCTAAACAAGAGGCGACTATCAATAGAAACGCCCCATACGAAATAATTCATTGACATGCATGCGGCACTCTTGAACGCTTGGTGCACGCGGACAGCCCCTAGGAGAACCGCGAGGTCTCTCTGGGTTCGCGTGCAACTCCACTGCGCTGGACCTCCCAGGAGCCCACGAAGATGGCGACTGCGAGGCAAGTGGCAGCATCCCCGGGGAGCCACAAGATCTAGTCTGGGTGCGCGCACGACACCACTGCGCTGGACCTCCCAGAAGCCCACGAAAGTGGCGACAAGTGCGCACGTGGCAGCACCCCCAGGGAGCCGCGAGGCCTAGGCTGGGTCCACTTATGACGCCAGAGGTGACCGTCTCTGCAGAGAGCCGCGAGGTCAAGTCTGGATCCGTGTGCGACATCACTGCGCTGGGCCTCTCAGAAGCCCACGAAAGTGGCACACCTCCCAGGCAACCATGCAGGAGTCAGAAGGCATGAAAGATGTGAGGATAATGATAATGACGGTGGTGGTGATGATGGTGATGGTGATGGTGATCGTGATGGTGATGGTGATGGTGGTGGTGATGGTGGTGGTAATGGTGATGGTAACGGTGATGCTGATGGGGATGGCGATGGTGATGGTGATGGCGGTGATGATGACAATACAGATGATCATGGTGGTGACGACGACAGTGATGATGATGATGATGATGATGATGATGGTGATAACGATGAGCATGGTGTTTGTGATGATGGTGGTGATGATGATGGTGATGATGATGGTGTTGGTGTGTATGATGATGATGATGATGATGATGATGATGATGATGATGATGATGATGATGATGATAATGATGATGATGAGGGTGGTGATGGTGGTGATGATGATGAAGATGATGACGATGGTGATGATGATGATGATGATGCTGATGATGACGATGGTGATGAAGAAGAAGAAGAACATTTGTATGGTGATGATGCCGATGCTGAGTATGCTGATGATGATCACGATGATGATGGTGGTGTGGATGGTGATGACCATACTGAACTTGTGAGAAATCGGATGGTGATGATGATGATGAAGATGGTGATGATGGTGATGATGATGATGACGAGGAGGAGGAGGAGGAGGAGGAGGAGACGCGCGAGCAGTGCTCTCTTCAAAATGGGAGCCCTTCGCATGAGGGCCGGGGAAAAATATCAACACTCGGTGTTAATGCCATTTCGAGAAACCTCAAAGTTCCTCACTCGCCCTTCTGCTCCCCACCCTCATCATTATACTCCTCTCCTTGCTCGGAAGCCAATCAGCATTCGTGTTCACAGAGGCGGCAGCCGCCAGGACGCGAGCGCAAGAGAGAGAGAGAGAGATAGACGCATGCGCGCGCCCTGAGAAATCTAAGCGGCAAGGGGAAACGGTCTCCATGTGGCATGCCCTGAGGACAGCATCTCCCACGCCTTGCGGAGAAGTGTTCGGGAGAGACATTACCAGACCGTGCCCCGAGGACCTCAGCGCGACAGCCATGCAGCCAACAACGGGGCGCATAGGGAGGTGAAGAGCGACGTGGTCAGGAGAACCCAAAGCAGCGGGCGGCGGAAAGACGAAATGGCTAGGCGAGGAACCAAGACAACCCGAGTGAAATGGCCGCAGGCGACCCGAAGGTCCGACCCCGAAGGTCAGACCCCTGGGGAGGGCGGGGTCGTTGTTGGAGCACACCGTTACGGCCAGCGCAGCCCAACCCAGAGTGGCGGCCAGGCACTTCCGACCTGCCAGGGCTGACGGACGGGAACTCCTCCTCCTTCCCCTCCTCTTCCTCCTCTTCCTCCTCCTTCTCATCATCCTCCTTTCCATCCTCTTCTTGATCATCATTATCGTTTCTTCATGCTCCTCATAATTTTCCTCTTACTCCCTTGTCCCTCCTCCTCCCCCTCATCCTCCTCGTCCTCCTCCTCGTCCTCCTCATACTCCTACTCCTCCTCATCCTCCTTCTCCTCATCCTCCTTCTCCCCCTACTCCTCCTCCTCCTAGCCGTTGCGGCCCGAGCGACGCTCGGGCATCCGCGCGCGCGACTCGCAACGGCGCAGCGCGCGGGGGCCATGGCATGAGGCTCCAGATCCCCGCTTCGCTACTCAGCCGGATGGGGCTTGGTGGCCAACTCGGCTTGTCAGAGCGGGAAGTGCATGCAGTGCAAGGGCCCGAAACCGAGCCTGTAGTAGACGTGCTTGATGACGGGCCAGGCGGAGCGGCTGTGCCTCTACCCCAAGTCGAGGGCACCGCAAGGACCGCCTGGGTGGTGGGGCCCACGGGCGAAGTCGCCACCTCCACTGGTGTGGACGGGAACGAGACCGAAGGTGGAGCAAGCCACGACAAAGGAGCTGGTCAGCAACCAGAAGATCCTGAAGGAGCCAGGCACGGCAAGGCCAATGCAGGAGCAGGAGTACAAACAGCAGGAGACCAAGACGAAGGAGGTGCGCTTCCTTTCGGCCAAGGAGGAGCCAAAGTCGGAGCAGGCCTCGCCGTCTCGGAGGCGGGACAAGAAGAATAAGAAAGAGAGGAAGAAGGCTCGGACGCACTCCAAGACGGACTTGGGGGAGTCCCAGCGCAAGCCCAAGAAGAAGAAGAAGAAGGAGAAGAAGAAGCTGAAGACGGAGGAAGCCAGCACCACACGGGGCCTGGAGGAGCCCACGCGGGAGCAGGCCGCGCCACCTTTGGTGAAGGAGGAGGCGAAGGCTGCGCGGAACCGCTCCAAGCTGGTGGTCTTGGAGGCGCTCGAGCAGCTTCTCGCGACGTGCAGCGAGGAGCAGCCCGAGACGGCGAAGGAGCCAGTGCAGCACAAGAAGCACTAGAAGGAGGAGGAGGCGAAGAGGGCCACGCGGTCGCGCTCGCGGCAGAGGAGGTCGCGTCACGCTTCGCCCGAGGAATGCAAGCACCGCAAGGAGGACAAGAAGGACAAGCAGGAGCCCCAGGATCGGCCGAGGTCTCGGGACAGGGTGCGGCAGCGTTCGCGCTCCATTCCCGGGGGCCCCAAGGGCTGGAACGCGTACGGGGAGGAGCGGACAGAGGTGGCGAAGCGGCTGGAGAGGGAGCGCGTGCAGAACAACTCGCAGGAGAAGTTCCCCTCAGCGCCGTGGGCCAAGGAGTCGAGAGCTTCTTCATCGGGGACGAAAATGACGGAGGTGGCGGCGAAGAGGATGCCGAAGCCAAAGGCCTGAAGGAGCTCAGCGAAGGTGAGGCAGTACGGCCCACACTACGTACGGCCAGCAGAAAAGGCGGATGAGCTGAGCGAGGCCCGCGCGGAGCCTGGTGTGCTCCGAGGCCGTCGGGCTCTATCCCTGGCGCTGGGCTTTGTAGGCCCAGCGCCGGCGTGCTGGAGCACGAGTGGCCGACCCTGACGGAGGCGAAGCTGGGTCGTGGGGAGCCCGTGGCACGAGCTGGAGGATCGTCACACGCTGGACCTGGCGTTCGGGTGCTGGCGCAGGTTGGCGGGCTCAACACGTCTGATGACGCCGAAGGCTGGGCAGAAGGACCTGGGGCCGAATCCCCAGGACAGTGCTGGGATGGACAATCGGTTGCACAGAGTCGCCACGTAGGAGAAGCTGTGCAACATCCAGAAGAAGGAGAACGGCACCAGGCAAGTGCCGTGCGAGAAAAAGTCGGGCACCCTGTACTCGTTCCTGGGGCAGCGCGGCAAGCCGACAAAAAAGAAGAAGGGTAAGAAGATGCGGCCTGGCTCCGATCCCGACGCGAGGGGCGACGAGGAGCCTGGGCAGCACAGTTTTGAAGTGAAGTGAACGCGCGCTCGCTGCAGGCTCTGGGACTCGACGAAGAGTTTCTCCTGCGGCATGAGCAAGCCATCAGCAGTTTCGGCATTAGCTGGAGGTGATTTGTAGTTCGCGGCGCGGGAGGCGCCGCAGGGCGAATCAACCCCCTGAGGGGGGGGTCAAGGGCTCAAAAGGGACCCGTCTTAGGGCCTGAGCCCCCCCTCGGGGCCTCAAAAATCATTGGCAGGCTCTGCGCGGTTCTGCTACTGGAGGCAGCTAGGCGCTGGTGCGCCGCCGCACCGACGAAACTTCGGTGCTTACCAGTGGGTGCCGCTGGCCGTTTGGGCCGTCTCGGCACGATTGCGCATGGGGCGCGACGTCCAGGGAAACCATCTTTTCTGCCCCCGGGGTGCTCTGCGTCCTCCTCTGTCTGTGTAGGTGGCGCGGGCAAGCGAGGGTTTCGCTGGATGCGACGGACTCTTGTCCAAACCTCTAAGCACCTAAGCAACTCCTCCTCCTCCTCCTCCTCCTCCTCCTCCTCCTCCTCCTCCTCCTCCATTCCTTCGCCTTCTAAATAACTTCTCCCTGTCGCACCCCAAGGCCAGTTTTCAGGGCGGGCCAGGCGTTCCGTCTGAGACTTCCTCGCTATCTATGACCCTGAAGCTTGAAAACTGAAAACCGTTTCACAGATTGAGGGCGGGTGGCTTTCAAAATGTGGCTCTCGCCCTGGCGCCGCGCACATTCTTTGCAAAACGTTG